ATATCATGACACACTTTCTTATTTAACTTTATTTTATTCGCATATAGCTGCAACATTGTTGATAACATACATTAATAACAATTTGGGGCAAATCAATAAAATTATACCTATACAACGTTGAAATATTAAATTAGATTAAATTAAATTTGATTAGATTTTAATATTTAATATAATTTAAGTTGTGTTAGTCCAAGTCTAATTAGGGTTATATATAAATAGTCATAGTGTGTATTATTATTTGTACATTTGAATAATACAAATTATTATTTCCTTTATTATTCTCTCTTTCTCTCCTCACTAAAAGTGCATCACGCACTAACAAATTGGTATCCAGAGCTTCCGGTTATTGTTCTTGATCAAGTTTTCAAGAATTTCACGTCAGAGATCGTTTTTCTAGGGCAAGTAAATCAACCGCTGCGAAGATGGCTAGTGATAAGGGCATTCCAAATTCTCTTCCAATGCTTGACGGCAAAAATTGGATCTGATTGAAAAAACAAATCCTTATTTGGCTTCCATGAAACTCTAGAAGTGGTTACCGACGTCGTTCCTGTGTTGGCTGCAAATGCAACCGACGAACAGAAAAAAGCCCACAACGAAGTCAAGAAGAAAGATTGCAAGGCTGCTTATTGCATTCAAACGACTGTCGATACTGCTAACTTCGACAGAATCTCTCATGCTGAAACAACGAAGGAGGCATGAGATATTCTGGTAAAGTATTTCGAAGGAGGTGAGAAAGTCAAGATTGTCAAATTACAAACCTTGCGTCGAGAATATGAGTTATTGTCGATGGGAGAAGATGAAAAAGTTGCAGAATATGTGTCGAAGGTTCAGAAACTCGTCCATCTCATGAACGATTGTGGTGAAACCATTACTGATAAGATGATAGTTGAGAAGGTAATGAGAACGTTGACCTCTCACTTTGATCACGTTATCATAGCTATTCAAGAATCCAACAATCTTGAAACCACTTAAAGTGAAAGATTTGGTTGGTTCGTTGGAGGCGCATGAGATGAGGATTGTCGAAAGGAAAGGAGTTCAGGACTCGATACAGGCACTGCAAGCTCAATCATGGAAAAAAGATGGTGGTTCCAACAAATTCAAAGGAAAGTTCGACAAGACTCATGGCAAGAAGTCTTGGTCGAATTCCCATAAGAATAAGGTCGAAGATAGATCTTCTGAATCCTCGAAAAGGGGAGGAGGAAACTATCGAAAGGACAAAGAAGATAATAAAGGTATGCAATGTTATAACTGTGAAAAGTGGGGACACTTGGCCAAGAATTGTTGGTAGAGAAAAGACAAGGGATCGAAAGGCAAGGACGAAGGAGCGAACCTTGCACGCCAAGATTCATATGATTCTGAAGGTGGTATGATGGTTATGGCTGCAGTTGCAGATAACCATGTTGAATCTAATATCTGGTTTCTCGACTCAGGTTGCTCGAACCACATGACTGGTCGAAAGGAGTGGTTGGTAGATTTTGACGAGTCAAAGAAGAGCAAGGTAAAACTTGCTGATAATAGTTCGTTGCAAGCAGAAGGTACTGGCAACATAGTCTTTCAAATGAGTAATGGATGGAAAGCTATGATCAAAGATGTGCTCTATGTACTTGGAATAAAATGCAACTTGTTAAGTGTTGGGCAACTAGTTGAAAAAGGTTTCTCAGTTGTCATGAAAGATGGAGTTTTGAAATTTTTCGACACTAAGAACAATTTGGTTTTAAAATCTCCATTGTCGAAGAACAGGACATTTAAGACTATGATCAGTTCGACATAAGTTCAATGTTTGAAAACTGTTGTCGACCACAAGGATAGTTGGTTGTGGCATTTGAGGTTTGGACATTTGAATTTTCGATCACTTAATCAACTGATTACTCAAGATATGGTTAATGGTATTCCAAGTCTTGAGATGCCTGAAAAACTTTGTGAAGGTTGTTTAGTGGGAAAGCAATCCAGAAATTCTTTCGTTTCGACTATGTCAATGAGATCATCCTGCATTCTCGAAGTGGTGCATTCAGATGTATGTGGTCCATTTGAAGAACATACAATTGGTGGAAATAGATATTTTGTTTCCTTTGTCGATGAGTTTAGTCGAAAGCTGTGGATCTATGTGATCAAACGAAAGGACGAAGTATTCGAAATCTTTAAGAGATTCAAGATACTTATCGAAAACCAGAGTGAGAAGAAGATCAAAGTTCTACGAACAGATGGAGGTGGCGAATACACAACCAAGATGTTTGAATATTTATGTGCAGAACATGGTGTTGATCATGAGGTAACTTCTCCTTACACACCTCAACATAATGGAATTGATGAAAGAAGAAATAGAACCATATTAGATATGGCAAGATGCATGCTGAAGAAAAAGAATTTGCCAAAATCTTTATGGGGAGAAGCTGTTTCGACTGCAGTTTATATTTTGAATAGGTGTCCTACTAAGATATTGAAGAACAAGGTTCCTGAAGAAGTGTGGAGTGGAAAACGACCATCAGTAAGTCACTTGAAGGTGTTTGGCTCTATGTGTTACAAGCATGTTCCTGATGCAAGGAGAAGGAAGCTTGATGACAAGAATGAACCTATGATTCTAGTAGGATATCATAAAACTGGTGCATACAGACTATTAAATCTAGTTAGTGAAAAGATTGTGTTGAGTCGAGATATTGTGATTAATGAAAATTCTGCCTGGGATTGGAATTCTAGCAATTCAATTAACAAATCATTAATGAACTATGATTTCGACGAAGAAACTAATGAAGTAGAGGTCGAAGGAATTGTTGAGAATCCAGTCGAAGTCGAAGAAGAAGGGGTTGCTGACACTCCCTTCACAGTCGAAGTCGAAGAGGTTGTGGCTGAAACAAGCCAAAGACCTCAAAGAAATAGAGTTCTTCCAACAAGACTTCATGATTATGAAGTGATGGGTGATGATGAAATCACACCAGATGGAGAATTAGTTCATTTTGCTTTACTTGCAGGTGCTGAACCAATCAACTATAGCGAAGCTTTGAAGATTAACAAGTGTAAGTTAGCTATGGTCGAAGAGTTACAGGCAATCGAAAGAAATAACACACGGGAGTTAGTCGAATTTCCAACACATACAAAAGCTATCGAAGTAAAGTGGGTGTTCAAGTTGAAACACAATGCAGATGGGTCAATAGCAAGACATAAAGTATGATTAGTAGCTCGAGGTTTTCTTCAAAGAGCAGGACTTGACTACTCTGAAGTATTTTCTCCAGTAGCAAGATTAGAGATTGTTCGACTAGTAGTAGCATTGGCATGCAACCAAGGTTGGTCAACATTTCATCTAGATGTGAAATCAGCATTTTTGAATGATCCTTTAGACGAAGAAGTTTATGTCACACAACCTCCTGGGTTTGTGATTCATAAGGAAGAGAGTAAAGTATATATATTGCACAAAGCGCTCTATGGCCTCAAGCAGGCACCTAGGGCATGGAACAAGAAGATCGACTCATACTTAGTCGAATTAGGATTTGTCAAATGCAAATCAGAGTATGGTGTCTATGTTCAGGTTGTAGCACAAGATATAATAATCATCTTCTTGTATGTTGATGACTTGCTAGTAACTGGAAATAGTTTGGAGAACTTGTCGAAGTTCAAAGAGCTGATGACGAAGGAATTTGAAATGTCGGATCTAGGAAAATTGTCTTATTTTCTAGGCATGGAATTTCAAATGTTGAAGCAAGGTATGGTGCTACATCAAAGAAAGTATGTCAAAGAAATACTCAAGAGATTCAGAATGGATGATTCGAATCCTGCATCCTCACCTGTCAAACCAAATGTGAAGTTGGAGAAGAATGGAGAGGAAGACAAAGTCGATGCAACTTTGTTCAAGCAAATTGTGGGATCTCTGAGGTATGTGTGTAATAGTCGACCCGATATAGGTTTCGCAGTCGGATTAGTAAGCAGATATATGGGTGAACCAAGAGTGTCACATATGAAGGCTACAAGAAGAATCCTTTGATATTTGAAGGGTTCAATAAATTATGGAATACTATTTCAACGAGATTCTGAAGGCAAAGGAGCAATAGTTAATTGTTTTTCAGATGCTGATTGCTGTGGAGATAAGGAAGATCGAAGAAGCACAACTGGATATTTCTTTCAAGTATTTGTTGCCCTAATCTCATGGTGTTCGAAGAAGCAACCTGTGGTGGCATTTTCATCGTGTGAAGCTGAATATATAGCAGGATCCTATGTTGTATGTCAAGTAATTTGGATCAGATTTTTACTTGAAGAAATGACTGTCGAAGTGAAGAAACCTCTAGTATTGCAAATCGACAACAAGTCAGCCATAAATCTGGCGAAGAATCCAGTTCTGCATGGAAGAAGTAAACATATTGAAGCAAGGTTTCACTTCTTGAGGGAAAAAGTAAATCAAGGTGAACTTGAAGTTAGGCATTTCTCAAGTGAAACACAGTTGGCC